TAAAATAAAATAAAATTCTAAAATTTTTATATTTTTTAAAATTGATATAGACAAAATGTAACTGCCTCGATTTGAATAACTTTCAGGACTAGGCCGACAACATAAAATGAATTAAAGTCGCTAAATCCCTACTCTCTCTCTCTCTCTCTCTCTCTCTCTCTCTCTCTCTCTCTCTCTCTCTTTCTCTCTCTCTCTCCCCAATCGGAAGTCAAAGGGGGCTTTTGATTTTAATTAAAATAAAAGGAAGTGGAAATTGATAATTTTATAAAAATTTAACTTAGTGTCGTGGCACTACAAGCAGCGACGTTGTTGCGGTAGCCCAAATAAAAAAATTTTAAAGCTCAATGTTGTAGCATCATTAACTCAGCAACGCGGACAAAAGTATAGATTTTCCATTCATGCATTTATACCCCTAAGACTTGCTTTAAAATTGATTCAAATATACTCATGCATACATAACACTCACCGACACATGCAAAAGGAGTAAATACATAAATTTCAATGGATTTACCTTATCAGACCAAGTCAAAAAATGTACGACTGTGTAATTTTCACTAGGTATTACCAAATCAATCATTTTTTAAAATATATCAAGAACTAGAAAAGCTATACTAATCTATTGAAAGTTTAGGTAAAGATGTACAAACAAAGAGTTGGGGAATATTGGGTGTGGATGCACTTTAAATTTCTTTCAATATTCTCTCAACTCAAATCCTCACATTCAAAAACACATAAACTAATAATTAACAATTAAATATAAAACCTAAATACACATACATCAACATCAAACTTTTATCCCACTACATGAAACCTTTTTCTTGATTGTTTCCTATAAAAGTCAAATTCTCATTTAAATCTAATAAAAAAAGTCATTTCTAATACTTTCTAACCAAGTCTTTTGAGGTCTAGCAATACCTTTTTAATGTGGGTTAAATCTACTACATGTACTCTCTTAATCGAGTCATTGAAAGGCCGACAATTTATATGACCAAACCATCTAAGTCAACTCTCTCTAATCTTATTTTCCATTGGAGCTACTTCAATCTTCTCGCGTATATATTCATTTCATATTATGTTTCTAAATATAAAGACACTCATCCACCTAAGCATTTCCATCTCGGCAACACTAACTTAATTTTATGCTTCTTTTTTAATGGCTAATATTTTGCATCATAAAGTATTGCAGGCCTCACCACCACCTTATAAAATTTTCCCTCAAGTTCCTCAAGTTTAAGGGGTATTTTTCAATCACACAATAGGCCTGATGTATTCCCCCATTTAAACCATCTAACTTGACAAATGATATTCTCATCTTTTTCACCATCATTTTGAACAATCAACCCGAGATATCTAAAATGTGTACTATTTTTAATGACTTGATCTACTACTACTATTAAATTACACTGTGTATTTAGTTTAGATCTATATAAAAGAAAAAAAAAATTAGACTCTAATGTTGACCTCCAATAAAACTAAATACACATACAACTATATAATTCTATATATTTAAGAAGTGCACCGGATGTGATAATTTAGTACAAGTGTTCAAGTGCAACCATAATTTAGATGATAAACATTCAAGGGTATTAATAAACATATGTGATTAATTCAATCAATTCAACAAGCAACATCACACAAGTGACAAAAGGTGTAAGTTATATGAACAACCAAGGGAGTGGGTTATAATTGATCCATACAATGTGAGAGAAATTAATTTATAAGCATAAGGTACATAACCTACTCTACACAAGAGCACAAAAATCTAAAATTTAATATTTTCCACATAGACGTTGGAACTTGAGCAATTAATCAAGTAATGAACAAGAAAATAAAACAAAACTATAAAGATTTAAATAGTAATCATTTTCTTTAACACTGAGCCAACCTACGTACACCATGCTTAATCCCACAATCATTCGAATTCTACCACCCAACTTAATCTATTAGCCAAATTTCTTTACTCAATGAGAAGGTTGAGAAACCTTATTAAATTTTGTTTTAAGATCAAGAAAAGTCATTTCTTATTATATTTTAAGGCTTCATTTGGAAAACTTTCGTATTGTTATATATAAAAAAATTTTAGTACGAGTTTTTTTTTTTTACAAAAGATAAGTTAATACTAAAAAAACAGCTTTAAAAAACAGTAAGAAAATCGTCCCAAATGAAATCTAAAAACACCTCGCAAACAAGCTTAGTCACAAACCTCCATCAAGTCTTTACAAGACTTGGCACGACTTCCTGAGATGACTGATATAAACCTAAGCCAAAGTCCTAATGGCTTTCATGATTATTCAAAAACTATCACCAAATGCCAAATACAACACAATCTCTAAAATAAACTGAAGACATAATAATAGCCCTTTAAAAAAAGCCCTACAAATTGATCTGGAGAAGGTATTCTTATAAGAAAGTCTCATAAAGATTTGAGGATGAACACTTGGATATTTCACTCATTTTTTTCTCCCAAAAGATACAACATAACGGCTCTTCTTAAAAAATTTGCATGTGCAATAATAAGAAAGGAATGTAGCGAGAAAGAGGGAGAGAGAGAAATTGCTTCTTCTGAACTATTTTCCCTTCAATTCTATCAAAACCTGTTAAAATCAAAGCTATTGGATAGAAATAGGAAGTTGAAATTCCCCTTTACTGATTACAGCCTGTGAGAGTTTCAACTTGATGGCCTCAAATTCAGCTTCCATCCTTTCCTCTTTGGTTAACCACGAAGAAAGGCAAAGATCAACAACTTCCTCGACACAGTTGATGGATTTACACAATTTAAGCTTATATGGCTTTCCAAACATTGTTATTTTCTCCAGTTTCAAACAACAGGGATCCTCTGCAAAGCTTTGTAGAATGCTCTTTGTGGCATTACACCAAATAGGCCTTGCCAACTTCAAAAACTTGTAAATGGAAATGACTGGCAGATTAACACTACCAATCTCAGATTCATCATTGCCACCTCTACCATGGAAATCTGATCCTCCTAGCTTGATAAGACCGTGCAAATCAGCCAATTCACCATATCCTGCATCCATAATGTGTTCATTTATCTTAGCAGATAAACTATAAATTCAATTAAATAGAACTAAAAAATGTTAGATTCCATGGTTGATTCGTATAACATACCATCCACTTTGCCATCACTTCGGTAAACCTCCATAGCGTGAAGTCCAGCTGCTTTCAAGCTTCTGATGACAGCAGCTGGGTTCTTCAAAGCCCAAGGATGAGCCAGAACTGCTACACCTCCAGTATTACTTATCAATTTTACCACTGCTTCTGCAGAAGGTTCACTGCCCCTAAAAAATTGATGGAGCACTTATATAGTATCATTTGGTCGTTTTATACACAAGGGTCTGTTAAGGGGAGCTTTCTCACTGCTTTGTTTCAGTTCATTACTACAAATTTATTTGGCTAATACATACTATTTTTTAAATATTTCTACAAAGAGAAATAACTTGTTACAATCTCATTTACTAGAGAATGATATCCATTAGAAAATTATTACTGAGTTTTTTCAATAAGAAAAAAAATTATAATACCATAGTAGTTTTAAAAAAAAAAATCTTTTTCAGAACACTTTATAACTACCTTACAAATTACTGCACAGCCCAAAGGACTTTTGATGGCGGAATTTTCAAAATTTTGTTTGTCAAAAAGCTGTCACAATTCTGCCTGGTTACATTTTTTGGCTACAACTAAAAATATTTGTGATGAGAAATAGTTCTTTATTATTAGATCTACTATAATGTTGCAACTGCACAAAAAATATTGTCTGAATTTTCTATAAGAAAAAATCTTATACTACTCAGCAACAACTTTCCAAAAACTTGATTTCCAAAACAATTCTATATATTTTTACAAATCACTATAGCTTCCCTGTATATACCCTAAGACTTAGAAGAGATAGTGATCTTACTTGGCATAAGCCGGCCCACCATCATACAAATATTTGCTAAAAGCTTGTTTTAGGTTATCCACGTGTCCAGCTTGAACCATTGCTCGAGCCACATGCAATCTTCCAGGAGCCACACCATCCCCTGCTATTTTAACAATATGTTCCCACTTAATAGACACTTTTAGGTTGTTTAGTTTTAGTAGCATATTCTTTGCTCGGAGGAGACGTCCATCTCTAATAGCAGTCAACAATTCATTGAGTTCTTCATACTTTGCTGGACCACAGCTACCATAGTATGCAAGGATATGCACAAGTTCTTCGGTCCCAGAACTTGGCAGTAGAAAATGAAAATAAAACATATAATCAGTACAAATGCCAGAAAACAAAGAGATTGATAAATAGAAACATAAATGATAACGACACTGCAATCTACATTTATTATTTAATAACACTTCTTGAGAATTCAAGTAGTCTATTTACAATGCAATATGTTCAGCAGTTATCTCAAGAAAATTTTAGGCTGTTTGGACAGAAGGCAATCGAGAAAAGAATAATAATAAAATGAAACCAGGTTAACCGTGTATTGATTATGAATTTATAGTCATTTAATTGGGATCTTGACCCTCATTTTATTTTCAATTTGCATCAACTATAAAGAATTGTAAAGTCTAATGAACAAGAAAGAAGTTTACCCTGTAGTATATAACGAACTGATTTCAACACCAGGCATAATCAGGACGCCAAGTTTGTGAGCAGCTTCCATGGCCTCTGGAATGCCAGCCATCGTATCATGGTCCGTTAATGCAAGAACTTTCACCTGCACTGAAACAGTGGTTAACAAAGTCATTCTCCATCTGTTATTCTCTCAGCATTAAATTCATAGCTCTAGTTAATCATATATAACTACTTAAATCATTCGAATTTTCTATGGATGAGTTAGATGAACAAAAATAATCTTAGGAGAAAAAACCCAAACTCTCTATTTTGGTGACACGAAAGAGGAAAGAAAAAAAAAGTCATGGAGAAATTATATAATAATATCATACAAAAAATAGCCAACAACACATACAAAAGAAAACACCAAATTTATTTGGTTCAGCCAAAATGACCTACGCCACTAACAAAATCACTATTATAACTTAATTTTTTTACTACTAAGCAAAGGAATACAATTCCACCTATGATCCCCTTCTAATCATTATCAAGGAAGATGAGTACATCACACCAAATATTAGAGCACAATCTTCTAGGAAAAGCCATTAATACGAGTTATTAGCAGTTCCACTCTCAACAAACCCAAAGAAAAAAGTAACAACCTATTTCATGACTTCAAGTAATAGAGCAATTAAGGAAGCCATCAACCAATTATCACCACCTTCATCAGACTCCCCAACAAAATGAAACAATAAATGATCATCATATTCACCACGCCCTAGCACACCCATAAGAAGGGAAAAAAGTCATTAATCAATGGAGAAATGTAATTAACTTAAGCAAATACTACAACAACAACAACATCAAGCCTTTATCCCACTATGTGGGGAACTTAAGCAAATACAATGTGGCTAATTAAATTAAGCAAAAATCTCCATATTTCCTGCACCCTATCTCAAATCAAATACTCCATTTCAATAAAAGAGTACAGTGGATTGAAATTTCAAAACACAAATCATTGTAATCACTACGTTATAGTGTGGTGAAATTCACAATCTAAAAATTATGATTTGTCAACCTTGACATGATCAAAGTTTAAAAGAATCCCAAATCTCAATTAAAGGTTAAAGAGGATTGAAATTTCAAAATATGAACACCATAGCCTTCACGCGAATTGCCAACCTTGACATAGTTAGAGTTTACAAGAATTTGAAAAGCTCAATTCTATGCCATTAAACACAAAAAACAGCAAATTCAATGACAGAATTTGAAAAACAAAGCAAAAACTTTAAAAACACAACAGAATTTAGAATGAAATCAACATCTTTAGAAATGTATAATCATAAAATATGTAGTGGAACTTCACAAAAGTCCTCACGTAGAATTGAAGCTTTTCCCAGTTGTTGATGTCCTTAAAATAGTACCAAAGCTGTGGAAAGAAACACGTCTCCTTCCTTATGAGGACAAGATACTAACAAACAATACACCGGACCACTATACTATGATGGCAGAAAACCAGGCATAAGATTAAGGATTGTTGAAATTTATACCTAGAAAAGGAAACAAAAGGCGAGGACAAGAGCTTCGTTACAGCTTTTGATCACATCACTGAAGCGGGATAAATAACAATGGCAGATCCTGCATTGGCCCTGCCAAAACGAAGCTTCAGATAAAATCTAACACTGTTGTGGAATTTTGAATCCAAGTAATGAAAAGCTCTAGTTGAGAAACCTACGCTGGCCACTTAAAAACCATGCAAGACTTCTTAGAGCATAGGGTTTCCTTAATGCAAAGCAAGGATGAAATGCACAAATTACGCACACAAATGATTAAGATAACCCTATTCTCCTTCACCCTTCCCTTTAGTTGGCAATTCCTCTTTCTCTCCCTTCGTCGGACATCCGATTGCAGAGCCACCGCAACATCCTCATTGTGAACATTTGAACCTCATGTGATTCTCCTCTTCTACCCATCTTAAGATCTATGTTTTGAGAAAAAAACTACCCTACATATTATTCATCTCATTGTTTGATTTTTCGAGGGATTATAAAACTTCTTATGATTTGCATTCTCATTTATTAAGCAATTTCATAGTTTTCTTTTTTATTCCTTTTTTTTTTTTTTGAGAAAATTAGAAAAGCCTAACTTTCATTTGAGATTGCCCTAATGGATTTTAGTTGAAGTTGAGGTTTATGCTCTTAGGAAAAAAGTAGAAAAACCTTAACTTTTCAGTTGGAACCGCTAAGTATGTATTGTTCTTATGATATTAACAATTATTATTATATCATTTAGATCATATTTTAATCTTATATGCATTATTGTAATATTATTTTATCATTATTATATCACTTAAATCATATATAAATAATTTTAATTTTTATTACATCATCAGATTCATATTCTAATTATATCCTGGTCAAACTATTGAACCTTAAACCTCTCATTTTTCTAGTTCTATGTTCGGTCCAATTTTCACAACCATACATGTACATACAACATCAAGAAGTGTTTGATTTATACAACCATAGTCTTGCATTTATAGTGAGGTTCTTTCCATGAGTAACTAACCAAGGATAGTAGTATGATAGTGCAAATCAACAGATAAAAACATGAGGTATAGATAGTCGTTTATTAACAATATTGATGATTATTACAATAGCTACAAGAACATAAGCCAAAACAATGTAAGCCATCACATCGACCCTAAGAGTATACTTCTTTGCCCACTGTCAAGCTAGATATCATTTTGAGCATGATAAACAATGGCAATGACTATGATCTCTATAAAAACGTGGCCTCAATTAATCACAAGTTCTCAACATTGTTAACTAACCACTATCTAGCACTCCATAGAGGCATGCAATAAGCTTAAGGAGATCAATAAACTCGTCCATTAAGGGTACATCAATGGTTTCCTTTAAACTACTAGGCTCATGCAATCCAAAATCACCCTAGTTATTAGCAAGGAGGACGCTTAAAAGTAGGTAATAACAAGACTACAATCAAATTTTATTATCTCTCAAATTTATTTTTTTTCCACTTATTAAGGAAAATTATTTAAAAGAAATCTTGGGCTGATAATTCAATGTGAAATGTCAATAATACAATAAAACATTTGCATCCCCACTAATATCCACAAGTAATAAATATTGTGTTGGTGATCTGCATCAACTAAAATAAAATTTTGATCGAAGTCATGTTGATGTCCTCCATATTTCTAGGATTGGTCTCACAATGGAAAAACTTGAGCATATTTTTGCTCCTCTATATATCTTCAACAATGAAATAATTGAAGTCCAAATAACACCCTTTTGTTAGTCATTATGGGGAATTCTCCATCAGGCTATATATTTGGTTAATTTGTAGTGGAGAAGTCTTAAGGGTGTACATAGGTAGTTTTTCCACTGCTATTTTTTTTAAAATTGATGTTATACATCCATTTAGCTATTGTTATCTTGTTGTTTTCAAAAAAATTCGGTAATGGGAACTTTTTTTTACAAGCAAATTTGCATAGGAGTAAGAAAGTTGTTTGACTTTTTCAAAAAAAAAAAAAATTATAATACCTACAATAACTTTCAAAAAAATTATTTCCCCACAATAGTTTTATAATCATATATATAAAAAGCTACAATCACTCCAAACAGATCTTAAGTCAACCCACAATGCCATATTTAATATGTCATTATAATCCATCTTTAGACATTATACTTAGCACTACAACTCAAATTGAAAATCCTTGCACCCATTGATATTGGGATAATCCAAGATAGCCTACAAGGGAGTGAATTTTGTTATGTTTAACAGTCAAAACCTTGAGCACAACTAGGCTTGAACATCAACCTTAGGCTTCATGAAGGCCTTGTTAGTACCAAATAATCCATGCTCCAAAAGAGTAGAATGAAAGAGTCGACATACTTTCAAAGCTAGCCACTTCATTTACAAGCAAAAAAATTCAACAAAAGACTGATGTTTTCCCTTTTCTAACTACTAAAGGATCGTGGCAAGTCAATATATAAGATAGAGAAGGGAAACTCTCTTAGATGGATCCTATCCCTTGTTTCCTCAGATATGCCCTCTTAATAGATGAGCTTGTCAAACATTTATCACTTAAAGTGTGGCCAGCTTTGTTATTGTCAATGTAGAGCTTTCTATGTAAGACTTATATGGACAACATACCAAATGCCTAATTGTGAGGTTTACATTGGGTATGCTAAGAGCATTTCATTAACATTCTTTGTGAAGAATTTTGTCATTCAACCATGAAGAAAAATGCTCTGAATTTTATGCTATATTCAAGCCAATATGTGCCATCTTCTGCTAATGGAACATGCTTTTTTGTAGAGTGGTTTTTCACACAACAGGGATGGCATCATGGGCATTTTTACATTAGCATACTTACTTTAGATCAAAAAGTGAGTCGAGGTTAAAAGCCCAATGCACAGGTAATTGATACCAACACAAATCAATTCATATGGAAGAGTGTAATCTAAAAGTTTAATCCAATTATAATCATGACAAATAATGTTAACAAACTCAACAGGAAGAGAGTTACTTGATTTTTTCAGGAATTCAAGACATGCTTCTATATATTATTATGGTCCAACAATAATTTAATAAGAAGATGGATAACAACTAATAGGCCATTTTGTGTAGGCTAAGGTTCTTCTTAGGAAAGGTTATAGGGACAATCGATCAATGAGCTATCTTATGTACATTTAAACGAAAATAGAAGAAGCTTCAATCAGGATGGAAGTTTTCAAACAAGTTAATATTGGAGTATTGTGCTCCACAGGTGCAGATGTGAGATATCTAATCTTCCCTCTAATAGTTTAAAACCATTCATAAATTGTATTTGTGATAAGTTTGTATGCTGGGTGGCCCTTTTATAATAATGTCATTTATTGAATAATATAAGATTGATTTTCATTACCTTTTTCATATTACTAATATATTTTTATTATGGACTTGGTGGTTTAATTAATACTGAATCCTAGGGGTAGTTGTGATCCCCAAGGTACTAATTTATATGACACAACTGTTAATGGATTCCTTTTTCCAGTCCAAATACAACAACAATAACAACAACATCATCAAGCCTTTGTCCCACTACGTGGGGTCGACTACATGAATCCTTTTCTCCATTGTGTCATGTTAAAAGTCAAA